GAGTACCTGTATTTAAAACATGGAGGGGGTGGGGGGCAAGAAAAGCCTCTAACTGAATTCCACGGGAATCACAGTGAGACCCCCCCCAGAGGAAATGGTGGCATTAAAATCACCAAGTAACAGAATGGGTGGCGGTAATGACGAACCAAGAAGGCAAAACCCGGGAAATAGATAATGCCAGAGAAGGAGAGAGATATAAAGAACAGAGCGTATACCACCTATGTAAGGGGATACGGCTGCTTGTGTAATGCAGCGAAGTATGAACAATAGCTGATGGACGGAATATCAGTGCGGAGAAAAAGGGGCACTTTCATTAAAGGTCCCATCGGGAAAAGGATCTGAAGAATACAATAAATTATAGCCTGAGATGTGAGAATAACAGCAGAGTGTAATTTTGGTTCCTGTAAGCAAACACCAACAGGGCAAACTGGAGAGTAACATCTGAAGCTCACCCCATTACCCCTGGGGCCGCGTATATTCCACTGAAAATAGGCCATGTTGGCAATGATAAAGATACTTGAAATCCGCAGGTAAGGGTTCCTACGACTAGAAGGGTTAAAAAGTCCACATGGGGAGCAGTGGAAAACGTTAAAAGCAGCGAAGGAACGGTGCGCTGTGAAGAAAGGAGTTGCGCAGATGGAGCAGAGGAGAGAGAAAGAGCGAAGGTGGATCAGTGTCCATTGATGGTTTGGGTCTCTGCAATAATTCAGAGATTGCTTAAAATTTTTCGGAATTCAGAGATGTCGTATGGGAGACAATATTGGGAATGGTAGGGAAGGATGAGTAAAGATTGGAACTGTTTTGGGACTGTACCGAGGTAGGGGGGGGCGAAAGGGGGGAGGGAACTGGAGAAGCGTGGCAGGGGACAGAAGGGGCAGGAACCTGGGAGGTGGCAGAAGAGGAAGAAACTTGGGAGGAACAGGGGAGGAAGGTACAGTACGAGGGAAGGTGAACCTCTACACTTGTAACTGAGCCAGTGAGAGGGGAAGAACCAGGACAGAGACAGGGAGGGTAAAATGAGGTGGTGGAAGAGGGTAGGTGTTTAACGGACCTTTTTTTGACTTTTGAGAAGAAAGGGGACGATTGGGAGGAGGTGTCGTACGAGGTCTCATCGATACTGAGGCTTGTGAAAAGAACTCGAAGAAGCGAGATTAGACGAGGCTTGAAGTAGGGACGTCTGGGGCCCAGGACAGGGAAAAGGATTAGATACAGGGTGATATGGAGAGGTAACCACAGAGGTGGGGGTAGAAATGGGATACCAGAAGTGGGGGGACGTTTTGAAACACGGGAATAAGAAACACGTGGGAGTCTCCCTTGGAGGCGGAGATGAGAAACTGCCATGGCATAAGGAACCTTTTGTCTCTTTGAGGTAACGGATTTCCCGCTCGTTTAAATAGACCTGACAACGGCGAGAGTACGAAGGGTGACCTCATGACAGTTAAGGCAAGAGGGGGATCGATTGCAAGACGTATTAGAATGGTCATCGGCACCACAGACTGTGCAATTCGGCGATAGATCTGCAATATTTCGCTGGATGGCCAAATCGCCAGCAATTTCTACACTGTTGTGGTGTAGGGATCACCTTCGAACTTGTAAACCCATGTCCTGCTATATAAACTGAGGATGGGAGTTCTCGGCTGTCAAAAGTTAAACAAGCCACATTGCTAGGTATCGTCTCCGCCCACGGGCAGGAAGAACGTAAGTGTCTACCTTGAGGATTGGGAGATCCTGGAGTTCCAGCTGTTTTTAGAATGTCAGGCCATATGTCTGGAAATTTTGTTGAACTATGGTATGGGCAGAATGACAGTACCACTACAGAATTGAGGGAATGATGTTTTTCAAGAGTGACAGGAACAGTATCGATATGGGAAAACGAAGAGCTCATGAGCCTGGGTAGCATTCTGTACGGTAATGATGCGAGTACCGCTCTTAAAGCATGAAAAGAAATAATTTACCCAACATGGCGTAGGAGTGCCCCTTGCCAATACTATGGTCAAAAGAAGGCAAAGAGGAAGTTGGTCGTAAAGTGAAGAATTTAGTCCATTGTTCATCTGAAACTGAGCGTGGAAAGGTAGTTTAAGGACGTGTCGATCGTTTCTGAAAGAACGAGAAGGTGGAGAAGTATCATCAGCAGGTAATTGTCGTTGGCGTTTAGGCGTGGGACCAGAGTTGGTCCGACGTGGAACGGGTCGGCGATTTGAAAATTGCCGCACCGTAGAGGGAAGGCCGGAAGCATAGTCAAGGAGAGCGAAGGTCCGATAAATCGAAGGAGTCAGTCGAGGCCTCAGTACCTGAAGCGGGTGAGGAAACAGCACCGGCAATAGGTACAGAGGCATGAGGAATGTCTGAAGAGTGGTCCAAAGACAGGCGGGGTCAGAATGGGGTGCTGGGATCAAAAGGGGCCCCGGGGTACCAGGTTCATGGACTAGGGCTGCCATGGTTAGGTTACTTCTTTCTTTTGTTTTAAGAAAAAAAAAAAAAAGAAAAGAAAATAAAAATAAAAAAAGAAAAAAAAAGGGGGGGCCAGGAGGATAGTTCCTAGGAGGAATGAAAGGGCCAAAATCTCCCTCCGCGCCCAAGAGGACCTCAGCACCGCAAGTAGCGCAGATACAGCATTTGGGAAACCCCTGCCATACCCTACCCATCATGCTAGTAAACTAAATCCGGATAGCAACCTCACATCTGTCGAGCTACCTCGGGACAAAAGAGGGCGGCCGGATATCCGCCACAAAGCATACCTCCTTCGGCCACCACCCCCCCGGAATCCGAAAGGTGGCTTCCAGAGATACACTCGTCGCCCGAAAGACACCCAAAGCTAACTCCGGATACCGGGGAAGGATCGGGGCATCCCCAGGCGATCCAGATTCCACGGCAAACTACGCCACCGTAAGAACCTCAACGGAATGGGATGGACCCCCGGGATCCTTTCCCCTACCTAGGAACTAGCGTGCCTGTGGGAGAAATCCCAAAGGACAAAAAGAGGAAGGGCAAAAGGGAGGGGTGGGAGGAGGAGGAGGAAAGGAAAAAGGGGAGGATGGGGTAGGGGAGGGGAGATTGGGGGTAATTAGGTTCGTCTGAGAAGAAGACCGACAGATCTAATTCCTCAGACCAAGAGCCTCTTCACCACGCCAAGGAGCCCCCCTTGAAGAGGTGTCAAAAGTTAAACGAGCCACATTGCAAGGGTAACGTCTCCGCCCCCGGGCAGGAAGGACATAAGTGTCTACTTTGAGGATTGGGAGATCCTGGAGTTCCAGCTGTTCAAAAATGTCATTGCCACATGACTGGAAATTTCTGTTGGGCTATGGTATGGGGCAGAATGACAGTACCACTACAAGAATTGAGAGAAACATGTTTTCAATAGTGATAGGAGTAGTATCGATATTCGAAAGGAGAGAAAGAAACATGAGCTTTTGGGGAGCATTCTGGACAGTGACGATGCGCATACTGCTCTTGAGAGCATGAAATGAAATATCTCTACCAAAATACGCAGGAGCGCTTTGCCAAAATGTACTATGGTCAGAAAGGTAGGCAGAAGAAGAAGTCGGTCTTAAAGTAAAGAATCTAGTCCATTGTGTGGTCCGAAACTGAGCGTGGAGAGGGAGTGCTTGACGTGTCGGTCTTTTCCGAGTAGAATGGGAAGGTAACGAAGGAGCATCATCAGGAGATTGACGTTGGCGTTTAGGAGTAGGACCGGAGTTGGTCCAGCGTGAAATGGGCGGGCGATTCGAAAATTGCCGTACCGTAGAGGGAGAAGCCGGAAGCATAGTCAAAGGAGAGAGGAGTTCAGACAAATCGAAGGAGTCAGTCGAAGCCCCGGTACCTGAAGCGGGTGAGGAAACAGCACCAGCAAGAGGTACAGGGGCATCAGGAGTGTCCGAAGAGTGGTCTAAACACAAGGCAGGGTCAGAATGGGGTGCGGTATCAAGAAGGGGCCCGGGGGTAGTGGGTTCATGGACTAGGGCTGCCATGGTTAGGTTACTCCTTTGCTTTTTGTTTTTAAGAAAAAAAAAAGAAAAGAAAATAAAAATAAAAAAAGAATAAAAAAAAAGGGGGAGCGGGGAGGAATAGTTCCCAGGAGGAATGAAAGGGCCGGAAATCTCCCTCCGCGCCCAAGAGGACCTCAACACCGCTAGTAGCGCAGATGCAGCATGGAACCCGTGCCATACCCTACTCTTCATGCCAGTAAACCAGCAATCCGGGATAGCAACCTCACATCTGCCGAGCTACCTCGGTGGACAAAAGAGAGGGCGGCTGGATATCCGCCACAAAGCATACCTCCTTCGCCACCACCCCCGGAATCCGAAAGGTGGCTTCCAGAGATACACCCGTCGCCCGAAAGACACCCAAAGCTACTCCGGGATACCGGAGAGGGATCGGGACATCCCCAGGCAATCCAGATTCCATGGCAAACTACGCCACCGCCAAGAACCTCAACAGAATGGGATGGACCCCAGTGTCCTTTCCCCTACCTAGGAACTAGCGCACCTGTGGGAGAAATCCCAAAGGCCAAAAAGAGGAAGGGCAAAAGGGAGGGGTGAGGAGGAGGAGGAGGAATGGAAAAAGGGGAGGGGAGAATGGGGGGTAATTAGGTTCGGTCTGAGGAAGAAGACCGACAGGGCTAATTCCTCAGACCAAGAGCCAAGAGCCTCTTCACCATGCCAAGGAGCCCCCCTTGAAGAGGTACACATGTAAAAAAAACAAATGTGTAATGGACAAGTAAGTTTTAGTGTAATATATAGTTGAAAAGAGTTGAGTAAGAGAAGACAGAGACAAGGATGCAAGCAGGAATATAATTTCCTCAAAATGATATTCACGAATTGCACGCATGTAACAATTACTACGTGTATGTGCTTAGTATTTACCACAAGATTAAAGGTTAAGTAATCAAGATATTTTAATGTTCAAAACTATTAATGACAAAATTTCAAGCTACATGCCTTTACACACACACGATAAATATTAAACAACTTATTTTTCTCAAGGATATTAAAATTACCAAATATTTTCAGTTGATTTATAAAAATCTTCACTGGTGTAAAGAGACCATGAATGGTGAACTAATGCCGACTAGGTACATTACACTATTATACCAATCTTATAAATTATTCTATGTTGGGGAAAAACTAAAAAGACATTTCAGGCCATGTTGATCAAATACAGTAGGACCCCAACTTACGATGTTCGTGCATTCCACGAAGTATGTCAAAAGTCGATTTTTCAGTACCCAGAACCAATTTCCATAAGAAACATGTAAAACGAATTAATATATTCCTCAGTCATAATATTCCATATCAATTTTCAAAGAGGTTTTTATTAAATATTTTCCATTCAGTACCATTTCTTTTTACCTACAAGTAGAGGGTAAGAGACAGTTTGTGAGAGCGGGTATCTTGAGGGTGGGTAGAGCGGGTGAGTTGATGGTGTAAGTTACAGTGGGTGGTAAGCAGGTGAGGGGAAGGGGTGTAATGGTTGGTGGTGTGGGTGTGAAGATGGGTGCAGTGGTTGAAGATGGGTGATGATGGGTGTGAGGGTATTGTGGATGCAAGGGTGGTGTGAGTGAGAGGTGTAAAAGTGGTGTGGGGTGTGAGATGGGCATGAAAGTAGTGTGGGTGTGAAGGTGGTGTGGATGTGAGGGTGGTTGGGTAGGAGCGGGTGGGTGGGTGGTTGGGTGGGAGCGAGCGAGTGGGTGGTTGGTTATGAAGGTGGTGTGTTGTGTGAGGGAGAGTGCTGTCACTGTGTGGTGCTATGTCTCAGTCAGACTACTTACTGAACATGTCCACAAGCAGGACACTGCTGGCAATGCTGATCAGGGAGCACTTCCTCCTGGCTCTCAGCTAACACACTCACCTCCCTGCCTCACCAACCTCCACCAGTTTCCCCCCCCCCCACACACCAACCACTGATGTACTGACACAATGTAAATATTGAATCTTTAATTCTTAATCAACCTTTACCAAAACAAATATGAGCACTCTATACATGCATAAAATGAACAAAGTTTGGTAAAAACACTATTATTATAATCAAAAAGAAGCGCTAAGCCACAAGGGCTATGCAGCGCTGCAGGGTAGGGAAGGAAGCGAGAGTATTGGGCGGTAGAAGGGGGGAGGGATGATCAGTTACAGAAGGTAAAAACACTAACCAAGAAAAATATATTATTTATAATTCATCCTTATGACAATATTAAATATAGTTGTCCTGACAATGGAAGTGGGGGTTACTGTTCATACCTAATTGGTTCCAAAATTCCAATGCCGTATATGCAAAACCTCATAACTCATAACCTCTTACGTCGGGTCCCTACTGTATATTAAAATAGCATTCACAAAAATGAATAGAGAAAAATATTCTTAACAGTCTAAAGAAAACAGACGTTTTTAACATCCCTATAGCAGCTTAGATTTTTCTCTATGGAACAATGAAAGTACTGAACCAGCATCAACAAAATAAAATAAACCTAAATAATTAAAACAGTATCACATAATTACCCTTACACTTATATTTCACAACGGTATTATATTAACAACTGATCTTATGACATACTTAACAGGAATGAATTACAAAAAGATGACACCTACATACATAATTGTTGCCAACAACTCCGGAAGCAGCAGTACAGCACAATTGTACCAAATCTTATATTTATCACAGGTATGAGAAACTCAAGGCCAGATTTTCCTTTTTAAAGAGATCAGCTTCATAAAAAATTATCCATATTAATACTACTGATAACTGTGTTAAAGAACCTTAATGAGTGGACAATTAATAATACTGCACTCTGAATAAATTCTCAGAAAAAGACTTGGAAAACAAGTCATAGTTTATATATCAATCTCAGATGAACTGCAGAAATTCAATGCTCTTTCATTGTTCACTGCACTCACATTTTAGTACAGTAATGGCACAGTGTACATTACATCACACCTGATGTAACATGATAAACAAGGAATAATAATGATTTGAGACACACAATTGTATGAAGCTTACAGCGATACATATCTTGCACCCTTCCTGTCACATCACATCTTATGAGGTCTGAAAAGGAAAAACACCATTAAATTCAGAGAATTAAGTAAATTTAACTACAATGCTGATGAATCTAAATTCCCTTAGAAATAAAGCACCAAAATGTAAGCAATAAAAAGATCAGCAAAAAAAAATATGTATTGTAATAATACTATAATTCACGTTAGCAGCTAAAACCATGTGGGTCATTTAGTATAAGATGTGGTGGATTGATTCTCTGTCTGCCAGGTGAAAAACAACCGTGCTTCTTTTTGTACTCGTTAATTGTAAAAATTGCTCTACTATTTTTAATTGTTAAATTTACGTTACTTAATTAACACTAGATTTATTCATTACTTAAACAAAAAACAAAACACTAGTTACTTTGACAATTTTTTTTTTCACATTTTAATTAGCGCACTTAAATACTACATTAAAATTTGTTATATCAGTCTAAATAAAAAATTAAAAGTGAAAAATTTATTCAAATAATTTTTTTCAGTAGCAAACCTTTAATAATAATAATACTGTAGTAAAACCTTAACCTAATGGACAAAAGCTGGAAACAATGGACAAAATCCACTGTTATTGTTATAGTGCACTGGACTAGTGATTTTTTGATTGTTAAATCCATAATTGTCTGCTACATGTTGTGATCAAGAAAAAAAAAAAAAAAAAAAGGCAGTTAAATCCAAAATTGTCTGCTACATGGCATTATGATCATAGAAAAACAATCTCATCATATGGAGTTAATGAACAACTGGTTTTAACAGACACTCCTCCCACTATTAGTCCACCAGCTAGAGGGTACAATATTTAACATATATTTATGGTTGGCCATGTTATATTTAGGAGGGTTAATGAATTGTTATGTCCACATATTTCTGACACAGCTATTGAATGAATATTGTCAAATGTACTTCCTTCTTTGGGTCACCCTACCCTGGTAGAAGACAGCTAATAAGGTATAAGAAAAAAGTTGCAAAAATACTAGAAAGTTCACAAAGGATGGGAAAGCATTAGGAGGAGTTACAAAGTTTAAAAAAAAAAAAAAAAAAAAAAAAAAAAAAAAAAAAAAAGCATAAATTAAATACTATGAGCTTGATCCTGTTATCACTATGGGACAAGAGGTAAAGTTCAACCAGGGCCAGCTTCAGCCTTATATTCATTTCATCTGTGTATGTGAAGCACTAAGCCAGTGTGGGTCATTCAGTGCAAGCAGTGGAAGCTTGGTCCTCCATTCATTAATTATAAGATGGACATTGGACATACTCATTCAGTAAGCACCTGCTCTCTTTTAAAGCCTTACAATATTAGCGCCTCTCACATAACCAAATAAACTTTACAATTTCACATTCCTGTCAAATTAAAAAGTGGGTAATCATTCTGTCTCAGGTGAGCATGCCAGCCGAGTGCTAGAACTCTATTATACAGTGAAGCTGTATACAGTAAAATTCTACTGCAGATAAAATACTGGATATACAATATACGAAAATCTAAACTCTGACCAATAGGTAGTACTGAACAGGACTGAGCAGAAACAGTTGAAGAGAAATTAAAGTTTAAAATTTTTCTTGTGACAATTCACACACAATATTTTACTACTATAATATCTTGTAGATATTGTGGTGGCTATTCTGTTTGTGAGGTGGTGCTAGCTTTCCATTTCTCTATTATAGTGTGTAAGGTGACACATAGATGGTTGTCTAGAAGTTATTTCCAGTCTTTACCTACAACAATTTTGTCTCCTATGCACAAGCCTTCTCATCTTATGGCAGCAGATAAAAGGGTATTAAAATTACTATGTGATACACTAACAACTGTAATTTACATATCAAATCATGGGATTAATTTCTGTATGTTTTGCTCTGGTATCAAAGGTAAACATGGCAGAATAATATTTCATCCTGGCAATTAGAGAAATGGGAATAGCAAACTCCAATTCTTCACAATGAGCCAATGACCATTAATTTTCTCCATAAAAGATGATTTTTTTTTAAATTGTCCAGGCAAAATTGAATTACTGTTAAAAACAGAATGCCATGTAGTTATATATTTTACATACAGCACTAGTAAAATAGCAATCTTATTAATATTGTAATAGCACTACTTTTATTTCAATATTTACCATATTACTTCAAGTAACTAAATAACCCATATCCTACTTACTTACTATTTAATACATGAGTGCCTGCAGAAAAGAAAAAAATAAACAAAAAATAAAATTAATTACCACAAAAAAAAACAGCAAATGCAAAAAAGTAGCATTAAGAGTGGTAAAAATGCATTATGCTATTAAAATTGATGCACATTTCATAATAAAATATAGAAGCAAAACAAGCATTCCAAGATGTAAATTTGCATAAAAATAATAACTGAAACAGAAGTATTGCAGTACCCTAACAGGAAGTAATAAATTAGCATTCCTTGAAGTTACTGAGGAGTAATGTACATGCTCAAAATAAAGAGACACCTGATAATAGTAAAAAAATAATCCCACTGTTATGTTGAGCATGAATAAATCATTACCATGCTAATTTCCAAAATAAACCATCAAATATTACTTAGAATTATGTACTGTACATATAAAATAGGTAGTAGGTTGGTAGACAGCAACCACCCAGGGAGGTACTACCGTCCTGCCAAGTGAGTGTAAAACGAAAGCCTGTGATTGTTTTACATGATGGTAGGATTGCTGATGTCTTTTGTCTGTCTCATAAATATGCAAGATTACAGGCATGTCTTGCTACTTCTACTTACACTTAGGTCACACTACACATACATGTACACATTTATTTATACACACTCATCTGAGTTTTCTTTGATTTTATCTTAATAGTTCTTGGTCTTATTAATTTTCCTTTTATATCCATGGGGAAGTGGAATAAGAATCTTTCCTCCGTAAGCCATGCGTGTTGTAAAAGTCAACTAAAATGCCGGGAACAATGGGCTAGTAACCCCTTTTCCTGTAAAGATTACTAAAAAGAATAAGAAGAAGAAAATTGTCAAAGTGGGAAGTCTGAATGTGCGTGGATGTTGTGCAGATGTTAAGAAAGAGATGATTGTGGATGTTATGAATGAGAAGAAGCTGGATGTCCTGGCTTTAAGTGAAACAAAGCTGAAGGGGGCGGGAGAGTTTCAGTGGAGAGGAATAAATGGGATTAGGTCAGGGGTTTCAAATAGAGTTAGAGCTAAAGAAGGAGTAGCAATAATGTTGAAGGATAAGCTATGGCAGGAAAAGAGGGACTATAAATGTATTAATTCAAGGATTATGTGGAGTAAAATAAAGATTGGATGTGAAAAGTGGGTTATAATAAGCGTGTATGCACCTGGAGAAGAGAGAAGTGTAGAGGAGAGAGAGAGATTTTGGGAAATGTTGAGTGAATGCGTGGGGAGTTTTGAATCAAGTGTGAGAGTAATGGGTGGTTGGGGATTTCAATGCTAAAGTGGGTAAAAATGTTATGGAGGAGTAGTAGGTAAATTTGGGGTGCCAGGGGTAAATGTAAATGGGGAGCCTTTAATTGAGCTATGTCTAGAAAGAAATTTGGTAATAAGTAATACATATTTTATGAAAAGAGGATAAATAAATATACAAGGTATGATGTAGCACGTAATGAAAGTAGTTTATTAGATTATGTATTGGTGGATAAAAGGTTGATGGGTAGGCTCCAGGATGTACATGTTTATAGAGGGGCAACTGATATATCGGATCATTATTTAGTTGTAGCTACAGTTAGAGTAAGAGGTAGATGGGAAAAGAGGAAGGTGGCAACAACAAGTAAGAGGGAGGTGAAAGTGTATAAACAAAAGGGAGGAGGAAGTTCGGGTGAGATATAAGCGACTATTGGCAGAAAGGTGGGCTAGTGCAAAGATGAGTAGTGGGGGGGTTGAAGAGGGTTGGAATAGTTTTAAAAATGCAGTATTAGAATGTGGGGCAGAAGTTTGTGGTTATAGGAGGGTGGGGGCAGGAGGAAAGAGGAGTGATTGGTGAATGATGAAGTAAAGGGTGTGATAAAAGAGAAAAAGGTAGCTTATGAGAGGTTTTTACAAAGCAGAAGTGTTATAAGAAGAGCAGAGTATATGGAGAGTAAAAGAAAGGTAAAGAGAGTGGTGAGAGAGTGCAAAAGGAGAGCAGATGATAGAGTGGGAGAGGCACTGTCAAGAAATTTTAATGAAAATAAGAAAAAATTTTGGAGTGAGTTAAACAAGTTAAGAAAGCCTAGGGAAAATATGGATTTGTCAGTTAAAAACAGTAGGGGAGTTAGTAGATGGGGAGATGGAGGTATTGGGTAGATGGCGAGAATATTTTGAGGAACTTTTAAATGTTAAGGAAGAAACAGAGGCAGTAATTTCATGCACTGGTCAGGGAGGTATACCATCTTTTAGGAGTGAAGAAGAGCAGAATGTAAGTGTGGGGGAGGTACGTGAGGCATTACGTAAAATGAAAGGGGGTAAAGCAGCTGGAACTGATGGGATCATGACAGAAATGTTAAAAGCAGGGGGGGATATAGTGTTGGAGTGGTTGGTACTTTTGTTTAATAAATGTATGAAAGAGGGGAAGGTACCTAGGGATTGGCGAGAGCATGTATAGTCCCTTTATATAAAGGGAAAGGGGAAAAAAGAGACTGTAAAAATTATAGAGGAATAAGCTTACTGAGTATACCAGGAAAAGTGTACGGTAGGGTTATAATTGAAAGAATTAGAGATAAGACAGAATGTAGGATTGCGGATGAGCAAGGAGGTTTCAGAGTGGGTAGGGGATGTGTAGATCAGGTGTTTACATTGAAGCATATATGTGAACAGTATTTAGATAAAGATAGGGAAGTTTTTATTGCATTTATGGATTTAGAAAAGGCATATGATAGAGTGGATAGAGGAGCAATGTGGCAGATGTTGCAGTATATGGAATAGGTGGTAAGTTATTAAATGCTGTAAAGAGTTTTTATGAGGATAGTGAGGCTCAGGTTAGGGTGTGTAGAAGAGAGGGAGACTACTTCCCAGTAAAAGTAGGTCTTAGACAGGGATGTGTAATGTCACCATGGTTGTTTAATATATTTATAGATGGGTTGTAAAGGAAGTAAATGCTAGGGTGTTTGGGAGAAGGGGTGGGATTAAATTTTGGGGAATCAAATTCAAAATGGGAATTGACACAGTTACTTTTTGCTGATGATACTGTGCTTATGGGAGATTCTAAAGAAAAATTGCAAAGGTTAGTGGATGAGTTTGGCAATGTGTGTAAAGGTAGAAAGTTGAAAGTGAACATAGAAAAGAGTAAGGTGATGAGGGTGTCAAATGATTTAGATAAAGAAAAATTGGATATCAAATTGGGGAGGAGGAGTATGGAAGAAGTGAATGTTTTCAGATACTTGGGAGTTGACGTGTCGGCGGATGGATTTATGAAGGATGAGGTTAATCATAGAATTGATGAGGGAAAAAAGGTGAGTGGTGCATTGAGGTATATGTGGAGTCAAAAAACGTTATCTATGGAGGCAAAGAAGGGAATGTATGAAAGTATAGTAGTACCAACACTCTTATATGGGTGTAAGCTTGGGTGGTAAATGCAGCAGCGAGGAGACGGTTGGAGGCAGTGGAGATGTCCTGTTTAAGGGCAATGTGTGGTGTAAATATTATGCAGAAAATTCGGAGTGTGGAAATTAGGAGAAGGTGTGGAGTTAATAAAAGTATTAGTCAGAGGGCAGAAGAGGGGTTGTTGAGGTGGTTTGGTCATTTAGAGAGAATGGATCAAAGTAGAATGACATGGAAAGCATATAAATCTATAGGGGAAGGAAGGCGGGGTAGGGGTCGTCCTCGAAATGGTTGGAGAGAGGGGGTAAAGGAGGTTTTGTGGGCAAGGGCTTGGACTTCCAGCAAGCGTGCGTGAGCGTGTTAGATAGGAGTGAATGGAGATGAATGGTACTTGGGACCTGACGATCTGTTGGAGTGTGAGCAGGGTAATATTTAGTGAAGGGATTCAGGGAAACCGGTTATTTTCATATAGTCGGACTTGAGTCCTGGAAATGGGAAGTACAATGCCTGCACTTTAAAGGAGGGGTTTGGGATATTGGCAGTTTGGAGGGATATGTTGTGTATCTTTATATGTGTATGCTTCTAGACTGTTGTATTCTGAGCACCTCTGCAAAAACAGTGATAATGTGCGAGTGTGGTGAAAGTGTTGAAGGATGATGAAAGTATTTTCTTTTTGGGGATTTTCTTTCTTTTTTTTGGGTCACCCTGCCTCGGTGGGAGACGGCCGACTTGTTGAAGAAGAAAAAAAAAAAAAAAAAAAAAAAAAAAAAAAAACATATATCATTATGAAGTTCCAAAATTCTAGTTTGTGTGTGACAAAGTTTTGTGTAGTAGCATACACAAACACCTCAATATTAAAGCACACTTACAAGCACCAGATTTATGCAGGCTGTGGATTTTTTATGTGCAAGTTGTCATTACCTTGAGTTGCTTCATTTTGGGTGCACGTCGTTTCATTTGCCGTCGCTGCTCACGTTCCTCCCACTTACGCTGTTTATCTGGGTCATCAATCTATAAATCATCAATTACCGTAAGTTATACAGTAGACATTCAGTAACATTATTTTCCAGTCTAGGTTAGTATTCTCTCTTGCAAATATTAATTAGGAAATAAACTATGGCAAGTTGCTATTATTATTAATTTTACACAAATGACTTATTTTAATACAGTAGATTGTCATTTAACACGGTAATTACGTTCCTGAAAACGCTGTGTCACGTAAAATCATGTTAGATGAACTGAAGAACTTAGGGAAAAATAGGGTTACATTCCTGGGAGCCCCCAAAATGCCAAACAACTTTTCTTTAGACCAACAGATCTTACAAAAATAAAAGTGAATATGTAATTGTAGTTTATTGTCATGAAGTATTATGTTGTTTTCAATGCTTAGGATTACAAATGCAACAGAAATAATAGTATTTCTTACCCTAAATTGTGGGTGCTGGTGTCTATGGATGATTGTGGAGAGTGGAGAGTTATGCTGTGGCCCTACTGGGCTGAGGTGGATGGTAGAGGTTCTGGTACTAAAGTCGATGGTTGTACTCGAGTGTGCATAAATTCTGTAATGGATTTCTGTTCTATTTTACCCTGCAGTACATTATACAACTGTTGGTAAGGCATCAGCTGCTCTAGACACCGTTTCAGGGTCCTCTTCAGTGAAAAAGTCTAACTTTAAGTCAGTCAGTAAATTAGTCAAGTCAGTCAGTCAGTCAAGTCAATAAGTCAGTCAAGTCAGTAAGTCAGTCAAGTCAGTAAGTCAGTCAGTCAGTCAAGTCAGTAAGTCAGTCAAGTCAGTCAAGTCAGTAAGTCAGTCAAGTCAGTAAGTCAGTCAAGTCAGTAAGTCAGTCAAGTCAGTAAGTCAGTCAAGTCAGTAAGTCAGTCAAGTCAGTAAGTCAGTCAAGTCAGTAAGTCAGTCAAGTCAGTAAGTCAGTCAAGTCAGTAAGTCAGTCAAGTCAGTAAGTCAGTCAAGTCAGTAAGTCAGTCAAGTCAGTAAGTCAGTCAAGTCAGTAAGTCAGTCAAGTCAGTAAGTCAGTCAAGTCAGTAAGTCAGTCAAGTCAGTAAGTCAGTCAAGTCAGTAAGTCAGTCAAGTCAGTAAGTCAGTCAAGTCAGTAAGTCAGTCAAGTCAGTAAGTCAGTCAAGTCAGTAAGTCAGTCAAGTCAGTAAGTCAGTCAAGTCAGTAAGTCAGTCAAGTCAGTAAGTCAGTCAAGTCAGTAAGTCAGTCAAGTCAGTAAGTCAGTCAAGTCAGTAAGTCAGTCAAGTCAGTAAGTCAGTCAAGTCAGTAAGTCAGTCAAGTCAGTAAGTCAGTCAATCAGTAAGTCAGTCAATCAGTAAGTCAGTCAATCAGTAAGTCAGTCAATCAGTAAGTCAGTCAATCAGTAAGTCAGTCAATCAGTAAGTCAGTCAATCAGTAAGTCAGTCAATCAGTAAGTCAGTCAATCAGTAAGTCAGTCAATCAGTAAGTCAGTCAATCAGTATGTCAGTCAATCAGTATGTCAGTCAATCAGTATGTCAGTCAATCAGTATGTCAGTCAATCAGTATGTCAGTCAATCAGTATGTCAGTCAATCAGTATGTCAGTCAATCAGTATGTCAGTCAATCAGTATGTCAGTCAATCAGTATGTCAGTCAATCAGTATGTCAGTCAGTCAATAAGGTGACAGCTTGAGCTGGGGAAATTTTTTCAGCGCCCGCAAACAGAACGGCGTAAAGATAATTTTACAAAGTGTTGTATAAAATTGTGCCGCAATTTTTCAATCATGCTGTAACCATATCGTGCCAAATAAACTAGTGTTAAATGACTGTCTACTGTACATTACATTAACTCTGAAGGAGGGGTGGGGATGTTGCAGTCAGAGGGTAATCTGAATTGTGATATCAGTAGACTTGGAAAAACGGCAATTGAATGAATGATGGTAAACGTGGTTTCTTCATTGGATCACCCTGCCTTGGTGGGAGATGGCCATTTAAGCTAAAACAAACACATACAAACACATATGGTTAAACCTTTAACTGTGAAAAACAACAGGATTATCAGTCATATTACAATCACCAATCATGAAATAAGTCACCCCCCCAAAAAAAAAGGGAGGGGGGGGGAGAGAAAAAAAGGCATTTCTCTCTCCCTTTTTTTCTCTCCATGTGCAGAGTAAATTTTATCCAGTGCACAAGTATGGAAATAAAGTGCAGATGTGTGTGTTGGAAGAAACAAGCAATGCAGAACTTAATATTTAGTTACCACTGACCATAAGCATAAAAGAACTATAATGAATATACAACTTAATTTCTAGACTCAACATCACCGTAAGTGATCATGTGCAATGACTGAAAAACTAGTTCACAGCACTTAACCCTTTCAGGGTCCGTCCCGTAGATCTACGGCTTTACGTTCAGGGTCCAAACCGTAGATCTACGATATGAGCTCAGCTCACTCTGATAAGCTGTGAGTTTTAAATTTGGGCCTAGATATGAAAGAATACATCTATGTGGTATGTGTGCACCACATAAAACAAATCCTTCAGCACACAGTGTGTAGATGAATGGTTCAGAGAACCGACATGTTGATAAATTAGACACATGTGCAACTCTTGGGTATCTTTATTGAGGAAACGTTTCCTCAATAAAGATACCCAAGAGTTGCACATGTGTCTAATTTATCAGCACACAGTGTATAATGAGAGAAAAAAAACTGAGACCGTGATTTTCGATTAAAACAGCGACTTCGCAGTGTTTTTTCGTATGTTTATAGTTGTATTTGAGATTTCTTGGTCTCATTTGATAGAATGGAAGATATATTACAGAGGTAGAGATGATTTTGATTGGTTTTAGTACTGGAAATGGCTTGAAACCGAGCTCAAAGTAGTGGAAATGTTAAATTTTTGTCGATGTTCAAGAGTAAACAAACGACCTCACACGTCTAATATATGCCAGCTGGTGGGTCTAATATACATTCACAAATGTGATGATGATATTTATACAATTATTACAATATTGCATAACAGTAAATGTTTTATTTTTTGGTTTGAATAAAAATTCATTATGTGAATAAAAAATCAAAATGGAATTCATTTGTAAAGCCTGAAAACATAACTAATGAGCAGAGGAAATGTTAGTTTAGTGCCAGGAATGCCTGCACTGTTTATTCTGGACCCTATTTTGAAATTGGAATACAGTGGACCCCCGGTTAACGATATTTTTTCACTCCAGAAGTATGTTCAGGTGCCAGTACTGACCGAATTTGTTACATAAGAAATATTGTGAAGTAGATATTCCATTTCAGATCCCCAAACATACACGTACAAATGCACTTACATAAATACACTTACATAATTGGTCACATTCGGAGGTAATCGTTATGCGGGGGTCCACTATATTTTGAATTTTGTGTTAAATTGGCCAAATTACCAATTTCTGATCATTTTATTTTGTAGTTGAAACAGTTGACTGGGCGATTTCTTGTGCTTAATCAATAAAATAGAAGTAATACTAGTGAAATAGCTAAGAATTTGGTCGACTGGAATAATGTAATTGGCCTAAAATCGGAGTGAAAGTCGGCAAAATCGCCGATTCATAAATATCGCCGACACATCAAAATTCGCGAGAGCATAATTTCATAAATTTTCCATCAAATTTCGTACTTTTTGTTTTATTACCTTCAGAAAAAGGTTCTCTACCATTTCATAAGAAAAAATAACAAAATTTGTTTTTGAAAATTCTTGGACACTGGTGCACCCTTTGAAATTTGGCCTTTGGACCCTGAAAGGGTTAATTAGGTGCTTCTCTACAATTAATGCACAGATTAAGAAGAAACACTGCTCACGAGACTGGCAAGTTTCCTCCACTGAGCTTCTTATTTTTAACTTTTTCTATTCATTTCTGTTTAATCAGTGTACAAACACTCTGATTTCTTTTCTAAATGGTATATACACCTACCATCCGACTTACGACCTGCTCGACTTACGACCACTCGACTTACGACCGCTCGACTTACGACCGTGTTTTTTATGCCAAATTTCTGGGAAATAAACAACTATTTGTGTTGTACACAGTGTTTATCCTAAACCTTACAGTATAAAATACAGTACTAACAACATAAAAAGTAAAGTAAAACATGAAATACCAAAATAAAATAATAAAATAAAGTCATTACAAAAATGTTTTGTTGATATTCAGTAGTAAAGTTCGACTTACGACCGGTTTCTCGGAACCGAACTCAGTCGTAAGTTGGATGGTAGGTGTATACCAATATTAAATCTTTTATGATTTTTTTTTATTTTTACTGTAATTATAGACAGATTAATATGCTAAAATTTAATTGCCTGACCTCAAGCATCTTCTCCCTCTCCATTCTCTTCCGTTCTTCTCTCTTAGCCTGAGCCATCTCTGCCCGAGCAGCATGGGTAGCCTTTAGAAAGGCTTCCTCCACACGTGAGCGATTTTTTTCTGCTTTTGTTCTGCCCTGAGGGAAGATAAAAACCCAACATGGCAGTTGTAATTAATAATAATAAAAAAAAAAGGAGCACATATTCACAAACACTTCCTTTCTTGCTCCCTTTACAGAAGGGTACAGACATCATTTTTTTTTTAATATCCCCACCTGACTTTTAAGCACAAGTACTACTTTCTACCTCAAAAATTCAAGTCCAGCTACCAAATTTCTATGAATCATTCCACAGGTATTGCCATGCTCACACTCCATCAGTATATCAATTCCCAAAGATCATTTGCCTCCACTCACCTCCATCTAGTGTACTTACACATGCCTGCTGGTTGTTCAACACCATTCAATATTCTCAAAATACCCTCTCCATTCTCTACTCTGCACTTTCACTCTTAACAGACAAATGAATTTGATCAAATGACTTTTTCAAGTTTCTCTTCAAAGCTGTTTCTAACTACTCTTAACAAATTTTACTGACACTACCTCACCCACTGCCATTTAATCATTTTCACTCCTTCACCTCTTTTAATATATTTTGTTTATATGCAGGCACTACTTTTTTCTAATTTCACATCCTTTCTGCAAATAATTTCTCTCTGCTCTTACACCAACATTCTTTTAATCACAAGCCATGATTATTAAACAAATAGAAACCAGATAATACAACTGATACAAAACCTACAAAATGGCAATACTGTTATCTTACCACACAGTGCAAACATAAAAGGGAGTCAGAAAATTAATAAAGGTTTTCCATTAATTTTCTAACCTACCTCTTTGCTGAGCTTAAACCTGCGTAGTTTGTCAGTCAAGTGAAAGACTAACTGCATCAGTGGCTTCATGCTTTCAATGACCTCCAATGACGGGTTACCACGCCCAGGAAAATTGAAGCCAAACACTAATGACCTGCGTACTTCAGGCAGCTTGGTTGGTTGTGCATCTCTAGTGAATCAAAGAAACGTGTTTTACTAAATCTCTGATCAAAGCAACAAGTTTAAACAGTTTCAATTACCACAATTTAACAATGTACACTTTGCATGTATGTAAGAGATGGTTGCTGAGATAATTTAGGTATGTAGAGAGGATGGTGAGGGCTAGGATAAGAGGATACATAAATCTGAGGTAAATGGTAGGAGGGTTAGGGATCCTCTTGGGAATGGTTGGAAGGAGGAGGAGGAGGAGGAGGCGGCAGGAAAACGATGCTCCGAATTATAGGCCTGAGCATCCATTAGGTTCGTGCGACAATGTTTAACAGGAGTAAAGAGAGACAAGTGGTTTTTAAAGGATGTGTTGGAGTATAAGCAAGGTAACTTTTATGAAGGTATTCATGGAAATCCGTTAGCCAGATATGAGACCTGGAGGTGGAAAGGGCAGTGCATGTACTCTGAAGGAGGAGTAGGGATATTACATTTAGAAGGTAATCTGAGTGCGATGTCAGCACACTTCTGGCTGAGAAGATGGGGAATGAGTTTCTTCTTTGGGTCACCCTACCCTAGAGGACATGGCCATCACCTAAAACAGTTTATTTACTGAAAGTTAACAATTATATTCTATAGTGAAAAATAATAAAATGGTTCAGCTCATCCATACATTAACATAAGCAGCAGAAGGGACTATTACATGCAGAACATTTCAAGCAAAAGTAGTCATGCTAATATTAAAATATACTATAAAAAGTAATTATTTTTCTATATATCTAAACACACACTTATACAGAGTGCACTCAATGTATATACATTACAGAAATCCCTCATTTCACATATGGGATAAGCTCCTGGTGCACACAGTAAATGCACACTACATAAAGTGAATAACGGGGGAAAAAAGAAAGGGTTACCTTCCAAGCATTACAATGTCTTCATAAATAATTAAGTACAGGAGGGTCTGGGTTTACAGCAGCATTTCTCTCTACATTTTTCTCACTATAGGCTAAGGATAAAAATATTTTGAAGTAATGTTTGTACTGTATATGCATTTTTTAGGCCTAGCTCTATTGCTCACTTCATATATGATAATGTAAACATGCTATCGAGCTTTTAAATCCATTTGAAAGTGAAAAAAGACTTGCACTTTACAGCAATTTTCACTTTATAGCAGCAGCCCAGAATCTAACCTGCTTTATCAGCAGGGCCTGCCTGTACAGTACTGTATAACTTACATACCTACCTTCTGGTAACCAAGTCATTAGGTTAAGCAGTGTAGCAAGCTATTCTTTCATGTTGACCGAATTGTGAGCTCCCTGGTGACTATATGGGTTATCAGTACAATGAGCATCAGACTTTTAAAAATAAAAAAAACAATATGCCTGGCTACTGGGTTTGCTGCATACAAGTGTTTTGATGTGGAGAAAAAAAAAAACCTAGTCACTGATGCAAGTAATGCGTGGGTGTCTTACTTTGTCCAAGCTCAATATGGCTTAAGCTATACTGAAGCTGCCTTTTACCTACCCAACATGCAAGACAGTATATCCCATTTTTGTTTTCATGTTTTCTAGTACAAGTTAACCCTTTCAGGGTACCCAGGCCCTCTCCCAGACTTGTTCTCAGGGTAGCCAAAATTTCAAAAATAAAAAAAAATTATTTTTTCTTGTGAAAAGATAGAGAATCTTTTCCCGATCATAATGACACCAAAAGTATGAAATTTGGTGGAAAACTTACGGAATTATGCTCTCGTGAAGTTAGCGGTCTCGATGATGTTTATGCATCAGCGATTTTGCCCACTTTGAGCCCTATTTTCGGACAATTTCAGTGTATTAATCGACAAAAATCATAACTATTTTGCTAGAACTCCATTTTCTCTATCGAATGAGCACAAGAAACCACCCATTTACCGATTCCAACTATCCAATAAAGTGGTCAGAATTTAGCAATTTTGCCAGTTTCACACAAATTTCAAAAGATGCCAATTTCCAAATAGGGTCCAGAATAAACAAGAAAGACATTCCTGGCACTAAAATAACATTTCCTCTGTTCATTAGTCACGTCTCCATGCCCCTCTTACATCCTTTTGCTTTCCACTTTGAATTTTTATTCTCACAAAAAAATAGAAGATTTACTGTTATGCAGACTACTGCATTAGTGTAGAAATGGTATAAATAATATCAGCGCACTTGTGAAAGAACATTAGACTCACCAGTCGACATGTAATGGACGCGTAGCATGATTTGTTTACTTTTGAACTTTGGCAAAAATCGAAGATTTCTGCTACTTTGAGCTCAATTTCAATTTCTTTAATATGTCTTCCATTCTATAAAATGAGACCAGGAAAACTAGAATACCATCATAAATACCATACGAAAATACAGTGCAAAGTCGCTGTTTTAAACCAAAAGCACTGCCAAAGTCTTTTTTTCTCATTACGCACTGTGTGCTGCAGGATTTTTTTTATACTGTGCACACTGACCACATAGACCCATTCTTTCATATGTAGGCCTACCAGCTTTCTCTCACTAGATTTGAGGGCGCTACAATTTAGGCGTAATAGTACGTCAAAAACCCTGGTGCGTAAGCCACTAGCTAGTACGTCCGAAACCCTGAAAGGGTTAATGACCATGGGTGTCATGGTTTACGTGCAATGATAAAGAAATGATGCAGAAAAGTGAGAGGCCCACATCAATATGTTATAATATATACAGTAGTATATCTTCATAATTCCCTCCTTCAACATTTTATTTAAGTACAGTGGACCCCTGGTATTCGATGGCATCGGTATTCGATAAATCCGGTTTTCGATGCACTTTAATGCAAAAATTTTTCCTTGGTATTCGATTGAAAACCCGGTATTTGATACGATTCGTACGAGACCTGTCCACGTGTGGCCTGAACTGCTCTGTGTGCTAGTGCTTACAAGCCAGCCAGTGTGCGCGCATCTAAGGATACATTCGGTACATTCCATATTATCCATATTATCACTGTGTTTGGTGCTTGTTTCTGCAAAATAAGTCACCATGGTCCCCAAGAAAGCTTCTAGTGCCAACCCTTCGAGAAAAAAAGTTGCTAATGACTTATGAAATGAAGAAAGAGATAATTGCAAAGTACGAAAGTGGAGTGCGTGTGTCGGAGCTGGTCAGGTTGTATAATAAACCCCAATCAACCATCTCTACTATAGTGACCAGGAAAACGGCAATCAAGGAAGCTGTTCTTGCAAAAGGTGCAACTGTGATTACAAAACAGCGACCGCAAGTGTTAGAAAATGTTGAGAGATTGTTACTGGTGTGGATAAATGAAAAACTGATAGCAGGAGATAGCATCTCTCAAGCGATCATTTGTGAAAAGGCTAGGCAGTTGCATGACGATTTGGTAAAGAAATTGCCTGCAACTAGTGGTGATGTGAGTGAATTTAAGGCCAGCAAAGGTTGGTTTGAAAGATTTAAGAATCGTAGTGGCATACATAGTGTGATTAGGCATGGTGAGGCTGCCAGTTATGTTGTGCGACAGAAGTCCAGTGACTCTCAAGCTGGTCCTAGTGGCATTAAAAGAAGAAGGGGAGTAACCCCGGAAAAGGACTTGCTACCTCAAGTCCTAATGGAAGGGGATTCCCCTTCGAAACACTAACACCTCTCCCCTCCTCCCATCCCATCAATCACCACCAGATCTTCATTAAAGGTAAGTGTCAATTATTTTATTGTTATTGTAATTATTCTATTGAATTAAACTTCATATTTCATGCAGTAAAAATTTTTTTTTTCATACTTTTGGGTGTCTTGCACGGATTAATTTGATTTCCATTATTTCTCATGAGGAAAATTGATTCGGTTTTCGATATTATTGGTATTCAATGAGCTCTCAGGAACGGATTAATATCGAATACCGGGGGTCCACTGTAATGTCCTTGAAAATTTCTTGTTCACTTATGCACTTGGCTTTTTATTTAGCAGTTTTAACTTAGGGCTGACTTGATAATATATGTTAAGTTCCAACTCTTCCTTCTCAGTCTTGTTATTTTTTTATTATTTATTTATTATCACACCGGCCGATTCCCACCAAGGCAGGGTGGCCCGAAAAAGAAAAACTTTCACCATCATTCACTCCATCACTGTCTTGCCAGAAGGGTGCTTTACACTACAGTTTTTAAACTGCAACATTAACACCCCTCCTTCAGAGTGCAGGCACTGTACTTCCCATCTCCAGGACTCAAGTCCGGCCTGCCGGTTTCCCTGAATCCCTTCATAAATGTTACTTTGCTCACACTCCAACAGCACGTCAAGTATTAAAAACCATTTGTCTCCATTCACTCCTATCAAACACGCTCAAGCATGCCTGCTGGAAGTCCAAGCCCCTCGCACACAAAACCTCCTTTAACCCCCTCCCTCCAACCCTTCCTAGGCCGACCCCTACCCCCGCCTTCCTTCCACTACAGACTGATACACTCTTGAAGTCATTCTGTTTCGCTCCATTCTCTCTACATGTCCGAACCACCTCAACAACCCTTCCTCAGCCCTCTGGACAACAGTTTTGGTAATCCCGCACCTCCTCCTAACTTCCAAACTACGAATTCTCTGCATTATATTCACACCACACATTGCCCTCAGACATGACATCTCCACTGCCTCCAGCCTTCTCCTCGCTGCAACATTCATCACCCACGCTTCACACCCATATAAGAGCGTTGGTAAAACTATACTCTCATACATTCCCCTCTTTGCCTCCAAGGACAAAGTTCTTTGTCTCCACAGACTCCTAAGTGCACCACTCACTCTTTTTCCCTCATCAATTCTATGATTCACCTCATCTTTCATAGACCCATCCGCTGACACGTCCACTCCCAAATATCTGAATACGTTCACCTCCTCCATACTCTCTCCCTCCAATCTGATATTCAATCTTTCATCACCTAATCTTTTTGTTATCCTCATAACCTTACTCTTTCCTGTATTCACCTTTAATTTTCTTCTTTTGCACACCCTACCAAATTCATCCACCAATCTCTGCAACTTCTCTTCAGAATCTCCCAAGAGCACAGTGTCATCAGCAAAGAGCAGCTGTGACAACTCCCACTTTGTGTGTGATTCTTTATCTTTTAACTCCACGCCTCTTGCCAAGACCCTCGCATTTACTTCTCTTACAACCCCATCTATAAATATATAAACAACCACGGTGACATCACACATCCTTGTCTAAGGCCTACTTTTACTGGAAAAAATTTCCCTCTTTCCTACATACTCTAACTTGAGCCTCACTATCCTCGTAAAAACTCTTCACTGCTTTCAGTAACCTACCTCCTACACCATACACTTGCAACATCTGCCACATTGCCCCCCTATCCACCCTGTCATACGCCTTTTCCAAATCCATAAATGCCACAAAGACCTCTTTAGCCTTATCTAAATACTGTTCACTTATATGTTTCACTGTAAACACCTGGTCCACACACCCCCTACCTTTCCTAAAGCCTCCTTGTTCATCTGCTATCCTATTCTCCGTCTTACTCTTAATTCTTTCAATTATAACTCTACCATACACTTTACCAGGTACACTCAACAGACTTATCCCCCTATAATTTTTGCACTCTCCCTTATCCCCCCTGCCTTTATACAAAGGAACTATGCATGCTCTCTGCCAATCCCTAGGTACCTTACCCTCTTCCATACACTTATTAAACAATTGCACCAACCACTCCAAAACTATATCCCCACCTGCTTTTAACATTTCTATCTTTATCCCATCAATCCCGGCTGCCTTACCCCCTTTCATTTTACCTACTGCCTCACGAACTTCCCCCACACTCACAACTGGCTCTTCCTCACTCCTACAAGATGTTATTCCTCCTTGCCCTATAACACGAAATCACAGCTTCCCTATCTTCATCAACATTTAACAATTCCTCAAAATATTCCTTCCATCTTCCCAATACCTCTAACTCTCCATTTAATAACTCTCCTCTCCTATTTTTAACTGACAAATCCATTTGTTCTCTAGGCTTTCTTAACTTGTTAATCTCACTCCAAAACTTTTTCTTATTTTCAACAAAATTTGTTGATAAACAAACACTGCCACTCTCTTTTTCTCTTTACACTGTTCACTGCAGATTCTTTTTTCTGTTGCACCAATACCATCATCAACCCATTCATTACATTCTATTGTACAAAACTCTCATGCTCACTATTTGTGGCCGCTATCTTTTACAGCATCATTCAAATCCCTCTTGCCCTCCGTAACCCACTTTCTGTAACCAAACCTTGGAAGCTCTAACCATCATTTTAAACCGTACCATATCTAGACACATGCAGAACATCGAGTAGCCCACATCCAATATGTTTATATCTTACCTATCTGCTCCTAATTTAGTTTAAACATTTTCTTTAAGTCATCGTGCCCCTGTTTGATGCATCGTTTCGCATCAATCCGTTTTCATCACTGTTGCAAATGAAAAATTTTATCTTGGCCTATTAATTGAAACCGTTGATCTACTCAACAGTCGTTATCCTAGCAATGCTACATGTGCAGCTTCAACTGTCATTGCCCTCTCATATCGGATACTTTTATTCCTTTTCTTAAATTATTACTGTCTATAACTAAATCGCTCCTTTTCTAAAATAAGTCAATCAAAAGCTCCCATGCAATCATTCAAAAAAGTTGCTAAACTTACAAAACCCGTAAAAGTTATTCAATACAAAGGACTTTGAGTCCTAGCACAAGGTTACTATCATCAACAATCAAAGCTCCTCTACATATGACATCTCAAAACCTCACGAGCCTGTCTTCTCTCTCCAGGTGCAACTGCTTTATTATACCACGCTCGCATCTAACTTATGTTGATCAAAATTTCTTGAATGTGATATTCATATTAACTGTTTCGTTCCATACGATCATTTAACATATGCGACCATTTGTACCTTTGCTCTAACTGCGTCAGATACCCAGATTTAATCCATTTAATTCCCCCCACTGAAACTTCTACCACCTTCTAGTGTTCGCTTAGGCCAGGACTCCAACATTTTACATCATATAGCATCAGCAATCTCTTTCTTGTCATCCGCACTACATCCAAACGCACATTTAAGCAACGATTTGTAAAGTATTTCTTCTTCTTTTAGAATGTATCGGGAAGGGATTTACAGCCCAATTGGTTCCGGCAATTTAAGCGCTCATGACTACACGCATGGCTTAGGAGGAAAGATTCTTTTCACTTCACAGACAATAGAAGAAACTAAAAAAGACAAGTATTTAGAAAAAGGAGAAAACCCGTAGATGTATGATATTATCAAGTCGTCTGGAAGGGACCAAGTTCAGTAGAACAAACTATCCCCTCTCATCTAGCGTAATACGACAAATAAAGAACCAATCCTAATCATCATGATAAACTAATTTACAGTTTTTGAATTTACTTCTATTTGCAGTAAGATATTTTTTTTCCCTGTGTTGGTGTCTTCGCACACTACCATTTGTTATTATCCCTTGAAAGATATCCTTCACTATATTTACAGGTCTTATATTATTTTATCTATCAGGAAGATTATTCGATTTTACAGGCACCGTAATCCTTGAAATTCTGTCTTATGACTTGGCCTATTTTGTAGCTACTAGGGTTAAACTATGGATACCGTTTTCAGTCTTTAATCTCAAGCTTTCTGAAATTTTAATAGCTGTAGCATTTCTATCCTCTACCTTAACTATCTCATTATTTCTTACCACAGTTCACAAAGAAATTTTTTGAATCCTTTTGGTATGTCTTCTTACATAGTTTAGAGCCATGGTCTCTAATTCTCCCTAATGACTGTTACAAAAGCTTCCTTATAATTTTTTTAATTTTCTTAACCCTCCAAGTGGCCATTACATAAAACTACATTACTGATGACAGGGTCCCCACACATGGATCTACATTAATCCTTTCAGAGTCCAGACCCCTGATCCTGAACTTGCTCTCAGGAAAAAAAAAAAAAAAAAAAAAAAAAAAAAAGAAAGAAAATCTTTTCCCAATGGTAATGACACGTACAAAAGTACAAAATTTGATGGAAAACTTACAAAATTACGCTCTCATGAGGTAAGCGATATCAGCGATATTTACGCATTGGCAATTTCACCCACTTTGAGACCTATTTTCAGCCAATTCCATTGTTCCAGTCGACTAATATCATAGCTATTTCGCTAGAACTCCATTTGTTCTATCGACTGAGTACAAGAAACCACCCATTTACCGATTTCAACTACTCAAAGTGGTCAGAAATTAGCAATTTGGTCAATTTCACACAAATTTCAAAATAGGGTCCAGAACAAACAATGCAGACATTCCTGGCACTAAAATTACATTTTCTCTGTTCATTAGTCATGTCTCCAGTCCCCTCTTATATTACACTTGCTTTCCATTTTGCATTTTTATTCACACAAAAAATAATGCAGACTACTGCATTATTGTCATAACTGTATAAATAATGGCAATCTATTTGTGACTGCGTATTAGACTGGCCAGTTGGACACGTATTGCCCAATGACATCATTTGTTTACTCTTCAACATCAGCAAAAATCAACATTTCCGCCACTTTGAGCTCAATTTCAAGGTACTCTTCATCGTGGAACCAATCACAATCATCTCTATTTCTATAATATATCTTCCATTCTATCTAATGAGACCAAGAAATAGAGAATAAAACCATAAATACCATATGAAAATACACCCCAAATTTGGCATTTTAAACCCAAAACATGATAGGAGTTTTTTTTTTTCTCGTGCACTCGGTGCTGCAGGATTTTTTTTTATACTGCGCACACTGACTACACAGATCCATTCTCTCACATGAATTTTGGTGAAATACTACGGCACCAACACTGGCTTGCAAGCCGTAGTACTACAGCACCAACAGTGAAAGAGTTAAATGAGATTTTATTGTTAAATAATACCTCTGGATACTTGGTGAAACTAGTATAAGCATATAAGAAACCTTATAATGAATAAAGCTATAATAACCTAAACTACAGTAAGAAAGTAACATTCCAAATTCACAGAATGTTTTTTATTAGTCACTTGGTAGGGATAGGAGGGAGAAAAAAACCCTGCTCATAATTCTGATACATAGACTGATATCCTAAGAAAATAAATAAAAGACTATTAGATGCATATTGGTAATTCTTTGAAACAATTCATAAAATTTAAGGCAATTAGTAAAATAAAATAGCTGGTAACTAAATCTATATGGAGGCAAATTAACAAACATTTGATGAGACTGCCACCAGTTGTGCTGATTTTTAGGGATGATAACTGCACACCAGCATGTCATAAGCTAGGCTGGCTAATGCAATATTTTTAAATCAAAGACAGCCTGTTCAGTCTTACCTTCCCTCTGTTCCTCTATGAGACATGAAAGTGAAGTAATGTAGTACTAGGCTATAATATATTGAATCATACAGTAGATCAAATTACAAGATCTAAATATATTAAAGCACAAAGACTCCAAGCTCATACAGTTCTGACATTAAACATTTTAGTAACAGCAAATATCAACCTTATTTAACATTAAGGCAATACTATTTGGCAGCCAAGACTATGGTACAGTAAAATATTTATTTCCAAACATACACAGTTCAGTATGATAGCTGTTCACTGCTAGCAAATATTTATGCTACCTTAAGAAAAAAAAGTGCTATGTAAGGTTAAAAGAAAAAAAAAAAACAATAAAACAAACAAACAAAAAAAACTATAGCTATGTTCTTGAAAAGATTTTATACTGGTCAAATTACTTTAGCTACATCTTAAGTAATTTGATATTTCAAACTGCCTAATTACAAAAACTGTCATTAATTACCAGGAAATTTTAAATTAAGAGAACTGAAGGTGAAAAAATGTTAAACATTAAAAATAAATATTAGCATGCAATTATAAACACATACTTAAAATTTATATTTAACTAATTAGGTACCAAAATGATTTGATTTTTAAACTACGTTTTCAGCATACTTACTCAGGTTGTTTAGGTCCTGAATACTGATCTGAGAAATGGAAGAAGTCAATCATTCCAGAGAATTTATTGAGCACTGCTGTCACTTTTGGGTCACCCAAAACAGTTGATGCTACTTCACCAAGTTCATTCATAAGAACAAACTGAGAACCAAGGCCAAATTTCTCACCCGATTTCTTCTCTGGACAAAATGTACTCTGAAGATTTAAAATACTACTATTTGTAAAAATTTTTTTTATACATCTATTTCATTATTTATAAGTTTACTAGAAAAAAAAAAAATTACGCACTGCGCTAGCATGACAGAAATCTAAGAAATGGAAAATTGGAAAAAACTCACTTTTTTTTTTTTCAACAAGTCGGCCGTCTCCCACCGAGGCAGGGTGACCCAAAAAAGAAAGAAAATCCCCAAAAAGAAAATACTTTCATCATCATTCAACACTTTCACCACACTCGCACATTATCACTGTTTTTGCAGAGGTGCTCAGAATACAACAGTCTAGAAGCATACACATATAAAGATACACAACATATCCCTCCAAACTGCCAATATCCCAAACCCCTCCTTTAAAGTGCAGGCATTGTACTTCCCATTTCCAGGAATCAAGTCCGACTATATGAAAATAACCGGTTTCCCTGAATCCCTTCACTAAATATTACCCTGCTCACACTCCAACAGATCGTCAGGTCCCAAGTACCATTCGTCTCCATTCACTCCTATCTAACACGCTCACGCACGCTTGCTGGAAGTCCAAGCCCCTTGCCCACAAAACCTCCTTTACCCCCTCTCTCCAACCCTTTCGAGGACGACCCCTACCCCGCCTTCCTTCCCCTATAGATTTATATGCTTTCCATGTCATTCTACTTTGATCCATTCTCTCTAAATGACCAAACCACCTCAACAACCCTCTTCTGCCCTCTGACTAATGCTTTTATTAACTCCACACCTTCTCCTAATTTCCACACTCCGAATTTTCTGCATAATATTTACACCACACATTGCCCTTAAACAGGACATCTCCACTGCCTCCAACCGTCTCCTCGCTGCTGCATTTACCACCCAAGCTTCACACCCATATACGAGTGTTGGTACTACTATACTTTCATACATTCCCTTCTTTGCCTCCATAGATACCGTTTTTTGACTCCACATATACCTCAATGCACCACTCACCTTTTTCCCTCATCAATTCTATGATTAACCTCATCCTTCATAAATCCATCCGCCGACACGTCAACTCCCAAGTATCTGAAAACATTCACTTCTTCCATACTCCTCCTCCCCAATTTGATATCCAATTTTTCTTTATCTAAATCATTTGACACCCTCATCACCTTACTCTTTTCTATGTTCACTTTCAACTTTCTACCTTTACACACATTCCCAAACTCATCCACTAACCTTTGCAATTTTTCTTTAGAATCTCCCATAAGCACAGTATCATCAGCAAAAAGTAACTGTGTCAATTCCCATTTTGAATTTGATTCCCCAAAATTTAATCCCACCCCTCTCCCGAACACCCTAGCATTTACTTCCTTTACAACCCCATCTATAAATATATTAAACAACCATGGTGACATTACACATCCCTGTCTAAGACCTACTTTTACTGGGAAGTAGTCTCCCTCTCTTCTACACACCCTAACCTGAGCCTCACTATCCTCATAAAAACTCTTTACAGCATTTAATAACTTACCACCTATTCCATATACTTGCAACATCTGCCACATTGCTCCTCTATCCACTATCATATGCCTTTTCTAAATCCATAAATGCAATAAAAACTTCCCTATCTTTATCTAAATACTGTTCACATATATGCTTCAATGTAAACACCTGATCTACACATCCCCTACCCACTCTGAAACCTCCTTGCTCATCCGCAATCCTACATTCTGTCTTACCTCTAATTCTTTTCAATTATAACCCTACCGTACACTTTTCCTGGTATACTCAGTAAGCTTATTCCTCTATAATTTTTACAGTCTCTTTTGTCCCCTTTCCCTTTATATAAAGGGACTATACATGCTCTCCGCCAATCCCTAGGTACCTTCCCCTCTTTCATACATTTATTAAACAAAAGTACCAACCACTCCAACACTATATCCCCCCTGCTTTTAACATTTCTGTCATGATCCCATCAGTTCCAGCTGCTTTACCCCTTTCATTTTACGTAATGCCTCACGTACCTCCCCCACACTTACATTCTGCTCTTCTTCACTCCTAAAAGATGGTATACCTCCCTGACCAGTGCATGAAATTACTGCCTCTGTTTCTTCCTTAACATTTAAAAGTTCCTCAAAATATTCTCGCCATCTACCCAATACCTCCATCTCCCCATCTACTAACTCCCCTACTCTGTTTTTAACTGACAAATCCATATTTTCCCTAGGCTTTCTTAACTTGTTTAACTCACTCCAAAAATTTTTCTTATTTTCATTAAAATTTCTTGACAGTGCCTCTCCCACTCTATAATCTGCTCTCCTTTTGCACTCTCTCACCACTCTCTTTACCTTTCTTTTACTCTCCATATACTCTGCTCTTCTTATAACACTTCTGCTTTGTAAAAACCTCTCATAAGCTACCTTTTTCTCTTTTATCACACCCTTTACTTCATCATTCCACCTATCACTCCTCTTTCCTCCTGCCCCCACCCTCCTATAACCACAAACTTCTGCCCCACATTCTAATACTGCATTTTTAAAACTATTCCAACCCTCTTCAACCCCCCACTACTCATCTTTGCACTAGCCCACCTTTCTGCCAATAGTCACTTATATCTCACCCGAACTTCCTCCTCCCTTAGTTTATACACTTTCACCTCCCTCTTACTTGTTGTTGCCACCTTCCTCTTTTCCCATCTACCTCTTACTCTAACTGTAGCTACAACTAAATAATGATCCGATATATCAGTTGCCCCTCTATAAACATGTACATCCTGGAGCCTACCCATCAACCTTTTATCCACCAATACATAATCTAATAAACTACTTTCATTACGTGCTACATCATACCTTGTATATTTATTTATCCTCTTTTTCATAAAATATGTATTACTTATTACCAAATTTCTTTCTACACATAGCTCAATTAAAGGCTCCCCATTTACATTTACCCCTGGCACCCCAAATTTACCTACTACTCCCTCCATAACATTTTTACCCACTTTAGCATTGAAATCCCCAACCACCATTACTCTCACACTTGATTCAAAACTCCCCACGCATTCACTCAACATTTCCCAAAATCTCTCTCTCTCCTCTACACTTCTCTCTTCTCCAGGTGCATACACGCTTATTATAACCCACTTTTCACATCCAATCTTTATTTTACTCCACATAATCCTTGAATTAATACATTTATAGTCCCTCTTTTCCTGCCATAGCTTATCCTTCAACATTATTGCTACTCCTTCTTTAGCTCTAACTCTATTTGAAACCCCTGACCTAATCCCATTTATTCCTCTCCACTGAAACTCTCCCACCCCCTTCAGCTTTGTTTCACTTAAAGCCAGGACATCCAGCTTCTTCTCATTCATAACATCCACAATCATCTCTTTCTTATCATCTGCACAACATCCACGCACATTCAGACTTCCCACTTTGACAATTTTCTTCTTCTTATTCTTTTTAGTAATCTTTACAGGAAAAGGGGTTACTAGCCCATTGTTCCCGGCATTTTAGTTGACTTTTACAACACGCATGGCTTACGGAGGAAAGATTCTTATTCCACTTCCCCATGGATATAAAAGGAAAATTAATAAGACCAAGAACTATTAAGATAAAATCAAAGAAAACTCAGATGAGTGTGTATAAATAAATGTGTACATGTATGTGTAGTGTGACCTAAGTGTAAGTAGAAGTAGCAAGACATGCCTGTAATCTTGCATATTTATGAGACAGACAAAAGACATCAGCAATCCTACCATCATGTAAAACAATCACAGGCTTTCGTTTTACACTCACTTGGCAGGACGGTAGTACCTCCCTGGGTGGTTGCTGTCTACCAACCTACTACCTATAAAACTATAATAACCTATAAAAACCTATAAAACTGTCATATGCAAGTGAATTTTTTTTTTTTTAACATGTTAGCCGTTTCGCACTGAGGCAGGGTAACCCAAAATAGAAAGAATTATTTGTGTACCGAATTGTTTCAGCCAGGGCATTGTGATTTTTTTTATATTTACTAACAGCTTGACTGATCAAAGATTGGGCTGCAATTAGTAGATAGAAACACACGCCTTTAGAACCACTCTTTGTGCTTAATGACCCACAAGGGCCTAGTGATTTTTGAAATACAATAAGTATAATACAGATTTGTCCACATTGCCAAAACCAATTCAAAAACGTGTGATCTAGACCAGAATAACCACAAATCTTTATGATTCCCTTTCAAACAGCACAGTAGGGCTCCACTTATATGGCAGATTAGGTTCCAGGCTACCACTGGAAAGTGAACATCGCTAGAAAGCAGAACGCCATTCTTTTCCACAAATAAATGCATATAAATGCCAGATAACAAGTTTTCACTAACATATATTAAGTTAGCAATACAACTAAGCATTAAAAACAATAAAAAGTAAAATACACATACAGTACACTCATTACTTACCTTAAAATATTTTTAGTCTTAATGTAGGGTGAAAAGTGAGTAATATTTACTTTAAAAAGTCAGGTGTAGGAGGTATGGTAGCCAGCTGGCCATTCCACCCACACATTTAAAGCTTCCCAGAGCGATAAAATGCATAAACAGTACACCCATTACATACTTACCTTAAAATATTGGTAGTCTTAATGTAGGGAGAGAGGCGAGTAGTATTTATTTGTAGGAAGTCGTGTGTAAGCGGTATGGTAGCCAGCCAGGAAAGCCCACCTCACCCACACGTAATATACTACGACATTTGAATTGCTCCAGAGCAATAAAATGCATATAGAGTACATTCATTGCTTACCTTAACCCTTTGACTGGTTCTGTCATACATATAAGTCTTACGAGCCAGTGTTTTTGACGTATTAATACGCCAAAATTCTAGCAGCTTCAAATAAAGCAGGAGAAAGCTGGTAGGCCCACATGTGAGAGAATAGGTCTGCGTGGTCAGTGTGCACAGTATAAAAAAAATCCTGTAGCACGTAGTACGAGAGAGAAAAACTCCAACTGTGTTTCTGGATTAAAATGCCGACTTTGAGGTGTATT